ACCCCCCCCCCCCCCATGTCACTGCCTACTTGACATGGACACTTCCTGTTGGCTGTCCAGCGATCGGGTCCTCTCAGGATCCAGAAGAGGAGTTATGTCAGTGTGAGAGGACTGTCAGGGACTGGCTGATTAGGGGCCATCTGCATTGTTGGGTTAGTGTCCCCTGCACCCGGAAACCTGGATGGCAAACATAGGTGAGTTTAATTTGCTTCACAAGGTAAGAAAATTTAAAAGGATTTGTTGAGCAGGTGAGTATGCGAGTATGTGAATTGAGGGCATGCACAAAAGGTAAGCTGGGTTAAAAATAATCCTGAAGGGGAAAGTGAAGTTCCAGTTTAAATGTACATATATAAGTTCCTTAACAATGTGCCCTAAACATATAACAGCCTTGGTCATTTGTCCTGTGCTGTATGTAATGTACCGATTAAAAGTGAACTACTATGGCAAGCACACATCCTTGGAAAACAACATAAAGAGGTGAGGCTAGTATTTTTCTTAACAAAACTTTGTATGCTGTGGACATTGTTGGAAACTGAAACAATGTAGAAAATATAGTTTTGATGTACTAGACAAGAAAATAGCAACTATAGTGCCCAGTCACTGGGTTGTGGTTAAAGTAATGGCTGTTGCTAATGGAAAGATTCTGAAGATGTGCAACTGTTGGATATTGACATAGTTTTGTTGCTTATGAATCAGGCATGTTATTAGTGTTTTGTAAAACTATATGCAGATGTGGATAACAATATAAAAGGGATTTTCAAGATGAAAAACCTTCAGCTGATTATGACCCCTTCTCAAAAGTATTGCCTACCATTTAAAAAAAATGTGCATTCAATTACAGTTGTATCTGCACTTACAGTTTTGCCTTATCCCCCCTGCAAACACAAATGCCTGCTGAGCTCTGTGAAGTGCATTCCAAACAGCTTCCCATGGTGGTGGGGCAACAATGCTGCACTGCTCCTCAATTCAGAGCAGAGTTGCCACTCTCATGTAGAAGAGTGGGAGCATGTGAGACACAAATGAAAGAGGGGAGCATGTAAGACACAAATGAAAGAGGATTTGTCTATCGGGCAGGGTGAAGGAAGTTTTTTGTTTACCTGAGGCTTGTGCATCACTTAGTAACTGAATTTGGTACTTGTTTAGACGATTATAGAGGAGCTTTTAGTTGAAATCCCCATATGCTACCTCCTGCATGTATACAGCAGGGATGTCCTGATTTTACACTCAAATTGAATGGTTCCCATAAAGCAACATTTCATTTGACTGGTTGAGCTGCAGTTTTAGAATCACTAGTGCCAGAGTTTACTGGAAAATTATTTAGGACCCTTTCACACCTATGTGTTGCTGCCTTTAATTTTGGAAAGTCCCATCAACATACATGAACAGTAACTAAAAACACATATGCAGTGTAGTGCACCAAAGCTCACAGCTGTGAATGTGCGTTGTGGTGAGCTGCATTGCAAGAATTTGTGCAGGTGTGTTTTTTCATGTGCTCAGGAGTGCTGACAGCTCATTCAAAAGAAGTCGGCTGCTGAAAAGTGTATATCAAGGCAACATAATTATAAAAACAATATGTAACACATCACTGCAATACATGCACATTTGCCTCGTTTTATCCCTTTAAGGTACAGCAGGTACAGAAAATTACCGGCTTCCAATCCCCGTTGTGGGCTGAAAACACATAGCATATTTGTGGACTAAGTGGTATCAGCCCTGCTCACTGTCTTTTGCTAAACTACTCAACCAGTCCCACTCTCAGATCTCCTCAATATAAAGGCTAATTATTCTGTAGTCCAAGAAAGGAACGAAGAGGGCTCTATGAGATAATAAAGGAAGTTTGGAGAGAACAGAGGACAGTTCTGAATCATGAGGCTTAGTGAACAAGCCTTGGCAGAGAAGGTGCACTGCTATTTTTCAAGAGGAATTCAAACTAAAAGGTAGATTTTCCCGAGTACTGCTTAGCCGCAATTTGCATTTTGAGACATCAGATAGCAGATCATTTTTTTTGTTGGAGTCCGCATTAAAGAGGATGACTTTGGGAGACTGCCTAAATTCATGCTAACAATACTTTGTGGTTAAGAGACAGCATAACACTATCAGTAACAGAATTCTGTAGTTTGGATGAATGTAAACAGTCATGTATTATTAGTACTGTTATTTCATATTGATTTGCACATTTGCAACCTGAGACTCTGTATTTTATCAGGCCAGTTGTCTCTTTTAAAGCTTTAATCCAGGCTGTTATATATGTACTGTTGTACCTGGTTTGTATTTCTGTCCATCTAGTTTTGAAATTCACACAGCTCTGTCATAAAGTACAGCACTGTCTGGCAGGGCAGGAGACCGAATTTGTCCTTTCTGTAGTTAAGGTACACTTAAAGCTGAACTCCTGGTATAACTTATTATGTATGCTTATGTTGTCCAGCTTGGCCCAATGTATGTACGTATATGTTCTACCTGAGTAGCCCACATGGATCTTGTATTGCACTGTAGTAGCCGTAGCCACTACAGTGCTGACAGCGATCTCCCGATTCCTGTAATGGCACTGTGCTGAACAGCTTCCCCTCTGCTTTGAAAACACAGGGGGTCATTTGCTCGGGACAGCAACACCTAGTATTTGTATCAATGAATACAGGGGAGGTGATATCATGATCTGCCTTTTGTCCAATCGGAGGGCGCCTTGTATTCATTGATAAAAGTATTAGGCATTTTCTGAATGGCTGCCGTGGTGACGGAGTGACCCCCTTCGTTTTACAAACGGGGAAGCGACCCAGTACAGCTCAGTACCAGTACTCAGAAGATTGCTGTCAGCACTATACATACTTATATTGGGCTGAACTCCATACTTGGAGTTCAGCTTTAACGTTTTTGTCCCTTCCCAGCCTGTGTCTGGACAGTGAAAGAAGTAGCACACTGATGAACTTAACTCTCTACCAGTCTGCACTCTATCCGGTTGCTCCTTGTTCGCACATAAGCACTGCAGCACAACGGTTTGGCTCCTTGTGCTGCTTTTCCCTTTCCCAGTGAAAGAGTTGTACTGCAAAGAGGATTGCAAGAGGCTGATGCAAGCACTGTACCTGAACTTGACCTGGCATTTAAAAAACAAAACAAAACATTTAATGATGTATCTATGAATACAGAGCTGCATTATTTGTGTATAAATCTGCCTAGTGTTCAGCTTTTAACCACTTCAGGACTGCCATACGTGTATAAATGAAGTGGTTATACCAAGATCACGGCTGCCTTGTCGTTTTTTGCAGCCGGGGCCTCGCTGCCACATACAAGTGTTCGGGCACTGCCTTATCACCTGTATGCAGCTAGAGAGTTTGTGAACCCCCGTTCTGCCACAACTGTCAGCTATCCTGGGCTCTGCTATCCCCTGGCGTGGGCCTGGCACAGCGGGTCTCTGCTCCTCGATCAGAGGGAGATTGGCACACCTCCAGCAGCTGATCTCTCCTCTGATCACTAAAACTGCAAGTGACATGTATTTCGTACATGTAGCAAACCACCGCGCGAACGTTGGAGTGAGAGCAAGAAGTCTAGGGCCATCAATCACTGTTTAACACTAAACTGATGAATGGTGAAAAGCTTTTAGGCCCCATTCACACTTGGCGAATTGCATTTTGCGCGATATCGCGCGATTTGTCACGCGATATCGCGCAAATGCTTGCATTAAAAAGCATTGGATCGCGGCAAAATCCGCTCCAAAAAGGGTCCTGCTGTAGCGAAGCACGACCCACGACAGCAGGACCCTTTGCCCCATTGCCATGCATTGGAGAGCGATATCGCGCGGTAAATAGCCGCGATATCGCGGGAATTACCGCGCGATAAATCGCTCAGTGTGAACGGGGCCTTAAAGTGTTGCCTATGGGAAATTTTAGGTATTGTAGTTTTTGCCATTTTAACACTTCACATATTTGGTATCTATTTGGAGGGAGAGCAATAATTCTAGGGCCATCAATCACTGTTAACACTAAAATAATGAGCAGTTAAGGCTTTTAAACATCGTCTATGGGCAATTTTGGGTATTGCAGTTTTTTGCCATTTCAAGGAAAGCATGCAATTTTAACGCTTGACATGTCTGGTATCTTTTTACCCGACGCAACCCCATCTTTTATATTTTGCCACAAAATTGGGTATTCTAATCTGTTTGTTTGCACTCAAATTCATTTTAAGTGTATTTTATCCTAAATATATTGGTTTGATAATAATATACAATATATAAATATCATTGTTTGGGGGTTTTAGGCTATTTTCTAGCCTTCAGAATTTATTTTGTGTGCTAAAATTAAGAAATTGCTTTGCTTTTATCTTTAATGGAAAATAATTAGTTTTTCAATATTTCTTTATTTTCAGAAAGTTGCAGGACTGAAAGGCACAAAAGAAAACACCAGTAGTCCTTCTGTGTCTGCACCGACCTCACAAGCAACTAAAAGAAAAGGGCCAGTTGCAGGGGGTGAGGATGTAAAGAGAGTAAGAGGTAAGGTTTGGAACTCATAAAAGACACTATACCATACACCTTCCCATCAGGCTAGAGGCAGTCAGATTATACCTTCTATAGTCTATGGGCTGCTGGATACTCTGATTTGATTATATAACAGATTATGAACGATCCTTTATATAGTTTAGTAGTAGGTTATATGCATGTTTTAATCTAGTTTGGATTTATGTAACAGTGACATGTTTTACTGTTTTGTGTGTTCATATGGTAAGGATTACTCAGTATGTTTTGTTTCCTATTTTTGTTTACTGTTTAATGCTCCTGTTTACACAATGGTTTTATTTTTGTACCTTTTACTGCATTTGTTTTTTTATCATACTAAGGGGGACATTTATAACTGAGAGCGGATATCGCTCTGCTATATACCGCAGTGTAACTCAACACTACAGCCTGTATTTTATGACCCATTTATAAAATGCAGACCAAAACTTGTAACCTGGGGTGTTCTATGCAGTTCTTTTCCTTTAGGTATATGAAAGAACTCCTGGATTGGATTTTAATGCTAATCTTCCATTCAGAAGAATAGCAGTCCGACGGCTTTGTAATCCCAAAGCAGGCAGGGTCCAAAGCACATTCGTAAATCGCATTGCTGTGTTTTATAAATAACGTAGTCATTGTTGGTTGTTTTTTTTCCGGGGTTTTTATTTTTTAAGCAATGGTATTACCATAAGCAGGGCTTGAAAAATTTGATGGTGTCTCACCAGTCAGTCAAAAATTTCACCAGTCAGCATGACCGGACTATAGCCTTGCAATTTATGTTAAAATGTTTTGGGGACAGATAGAGCTTTCTTTTGGAGGTATATAATCACCACTGGGGGGGTGTTATTTTTTTTTTTTTTACTATATAATGATGCGTATGACACGCGTTTCGGGCCGCGCCTTTTTACCCCGATTTGCGATCCACGAAAGACGCATCAAACGCGTGTTTACGAGGGCTATCCGGCTGTATCCTGATGGATACGCGCGGAAATACGCCCCAAAGCTCCTGTACTTCTTTGGGTGTAAGGAAATAATGGAATTTCACTTTCTGGGCGTTTTACAGCGCTTCGATCAGCGCTGTAAAACGCCCAGGTGTGAACCCGGCCTTAATCGCATATCTGTGTGTGTATGTGGGGGCGGGGACAAAAATACATTAAATTTTTTTTTTCTTTTTAACATTTTTTTATGCTTTATATTTTTTTATGCTTCTTTAATTTTTGTATTACTTTTTTTATGGGATAGCCAATTTACATGACAGGTCCTCTTTATGGAGACATCAGGGGTCTCGAAGACCCCTAATGTCACCTAGGGACCCCCAGAGAAGCTGATGAAGCAGAGATCTGC